ATGCCGGCGCTTCGCCGCAGCTGCTGGAGCGGGCTCAGGGAGGGGGGTGGCGGGCCCGGTGCCGCCGAGCGGGGCACACCTGTCGGCCGTTCACCCGGCGCCCCCGCGGCTGGACAGCTGAGGGGACGAGCGGGGAGGGGGCTGGATTCCCCCCCGCGGCAGGGCCCTGCAGAGGCTGTTGCCTGATGGCGGTTGCCGCAGCTCCCCCCTCCTCCCCGCTGGGATTAGGCAGCTCGGGGCAGCAGTCCCTTGGCCGGAGCTCCCGGGGCTCCGCACCCCTTCCCCGCCTGGCCCTCCGGGTTACCAGTTGCAGAGGTCGGCTCCGCACGGGCGGCCGCAGAGGAACACGCTGCTTCAGGACGCCGGTGTCCCGTAGAGCCTGGAGGTGAGCCCCCGGCCGCTGCACCCGTCTGATGCTTCGAGCTGGCAGTGCAGAAATCAAAACTAATCCATCATGTCCATCCCGTTCTTTCACCTGGGAGGGAAACAGCCTCCCGACTGACGGGCCCACGATCCATCCACTTTCTAAGGGAGTCCAGTGCTGAAAGCAAAGAGAGGAATTTGGCGTCCCCCAGACAAACTTGTGGGTCTTCTCGTGGCCTGGAAGGCAAGATGCTAGGGGTGAAATGGCTGTCTCCCATCTGCAATTTTGGAAGATGCTAAAAGCAGCTGTTCAGGAAGGTGTCTTTCAGAGTTCCTGTCCCATCTTCCAAAGACAGGGGAAGGACCACCTTTTTGGTGATGGGATCAGTGTCTCCCTGGCTCCTGGAACCGTGTCCAAGCCCCTCAGCCTGTTGGTGAGCTGAAGGGGATGGGTGTTTGTGCAGGCTTTGATGGTGCTTTGCTGTGAGGGACAAAAGGCTGCCTGCCGGCTCCTGAGAGACTGTCCGATCATGGTAGCTGCTTTCAGTTTTCACAAATGTTGGCTGAAGAAGAGCAGAGTTTGATTTTAATTTTTTTTAATAATTTTTCATTAGCAAATTAGCACACCATGCCTAGTACTCCTCATAAGGAACCTCAGAGACAGACATCTTCCTGTGCCAGCCTGGAGAGGGGTCTGAGCAAGGGCGGTGGTTTTCCTGCTGTTACTGTAGTTCCTGGGTTTACTGACCTGCAGCCCAGGTTCTGTCTGTTCAAGCCCACCTATACTCCTGTCCAAGGCATTGGTTTAAAACCCAGTATTAAAATTTGTCAGAGAAACTGTTGCAAGCCTCGATTAATATCCATTACATTTCTATAAGGGCTTAATTCAGGCAATTAATAGATTGGCAAATTGTGACTGGATTGCACAAGTATTGGTTAGTGTTCCCTACTGAGAGCTGGCAAAAAAAAAAAGGTATTTTCTCTCTGTCAGATGCTACCGAAAACCTTGAGATTGAGAGGTGAGGCTGACTTTGGAGACTGCCAAAAAGAAAAAGCCAGAAACCTGATCTAGGAGACCGCTCCAAAAGGAAGATGAGATGAGCAGGGGACATGAGGTCTGTCTCGTGACCTGGCACATGTGCCCTGGCCTTGGGGACAGGGGAGGTACCTGGGTCTGGGAACAAAGTTCCAGATGGGGGGAACTGCTGTTTTCAAGCTGTCCACACTGCATCAGGAAGGCAACTGGATGAGGCTGTGGTACCATGGAGGGAGGAGGATCAGAAACAGGAGGCTGTGGCGTCTCTGTGCAGGCTCAGCTATTTATCTGGCAGTTTAAAAATGGGAGATTGCTATTTACTTAGGGCCTGATGGCAGAGGGGGCAAAGCTCCCCCTTTTGCTGTGGGCCACTGGGGCTGAGGGCATTAGGCTGTGCCAAGGCTGGGCATTTGCTGTTGGCTGGGGAACAGTCTCTACCAGCTGGTATCAAAGTTCGTGCTGAGGCTCGAAAAACCCTCTATTGTCAACACCCAGCTGAAATAGGCTGGGGTTTCGGACGGCTGGAGAAGGAAAATTTGAGGCCAGTCCACCACACTTCCCTTCCTCCTCTTTGTGTGCTGCTCCCCCTCACTAGCACCCCTGCCCTCCTCCCGCCTCACCTCTGAATATTAATGCCTCTGGCAGATTGGATAATAATGTGACTGGGAATTGAATGAAGCTGGTTATTAGCTCTGGGCTTCCTTGGGGCATTTAAGGGAGTCCACAGGCTGATCCTGGAAGCTTGTCAGCACAAGGGACCAGGGCGAGACTTGGCAAAGGGGGGGGGGGGGGTCACTTCTGTGGGAAAGGATTTGCTTGAATCCTCATTTCTCTGTGACCCCAGAGGAGCACAGGTATGGCATCCTAGCCAGAGTAATTCCTGTGGGATAGTTAGCAATAGATCTGTTGGATGTTGGCAAAAAAATTAAATATTAGAAGTTTTTCCCAGGAAAGACCAAGGAGATCTAGCTGGGCAGAAGCTAAGAGAGACATTTCTGTTATTAAGCTTTAAAAAGAGGTGGGGAGTGAACAAGGGAGGTCCCTCTCTTCCCTTCCCGTCAGTGTCAGAATATTACCAAGCAGATTCAGGAAGAGAGCCAATCCTCTACCCCCGAACAGGAAATTTCCCACTGATTTGCAGGGTGTAGGTTCAGCTTTGGACCACTCATTTCTGAAGAGCTGAACCTTATGCTGTCTCTCCTCAGGAGCCTCCTAGCTTTTTTATACGTAGATCTCAGGATTCTTTAGCACGAAGGGGAATATCCCTGTTGAACAGAGGAAAAATGGAGCTCTGGCTGAATTGCCTGATCTGAGTCAGAAATATAGCCTCTGTCCCTTGACCCGCAATCTGATGCCCTTTGCTATCTCCTAAACCACAGCTCCACCAGAAGATAAACATTTACACCCTTTTGAATAATGCAAAAGAAGAGGGAAACCAGAGCTGGGTTTGCAGAAACTGGTATTAATTTTGTCCCTCTGATTTTTCAAGTATTCAAAATGTTCTGAGATGCATTAACGGGGCTATAGTTACTAGGTATTTTAGCAGATCCCCGGCTTGGGGGAGCTGGGTCCTGCATGCACTGAATTAACCCCTAGAAACCATCATCAGAGCTACTGTGATTGAGACACCTGTTTGTAGACCCCTATCAAGCAAGTTCACAATCCCAAATCTGAGAGCCTAAGAAATACTTCTGTTGGGAGGATATAGCCCATATGCCACTGTGAATCACATAGCACTGATCCTATAGGCTACTCTTTTCAAATAAATACAATAAATTGGTACTTGGGGAACACCAGTGATGTGGCACAGGCTGGAAGGCTCAGCACCTGCTGAGCTATCTGCAAAAACTGAAGAAGTATAAAGATGGAATCAAAGAAATGACTTGAGGTTCACAGTTACTTCCATCTCTCTTTCCATTCCTTCTTCCCCTCAACCTTATTTAAAACAGAAGCAGCCTTCCTACCACCCGTTGCCTTTTCTCCCCTTTGCAATGCTGCCATTTATATGAGTCTAATTTTCTTTTAAAAAAGCTGATTATAAATGACCATTGTGAAACATGAGTATTTAATGGTAAATCAAGTTGACCTGTCTGCGTGTGGACATTTTTATTTACTCCTTTTTTTGAAAAGCAAATAAACATAGAATCCCTCCCACATAAAGCAGCTCCCCACTTAGATTTGAACACAGTTTAAAAGAAATCTCTTTTGTTTTAGCCATTTTTATTTCCTGTTTGTTTCTGAGCTTAGACTTGACAATGAAAACCACATGAAATTCCCTTTTTGTTCCATCAGTTTTATTTTTGGTGCCACAATATCCCAACTTCCAGTTCTGTGAGTTGGCTTTGGGGTTTTTTTGGGGGTTTTTTTGTTAGCATTTATTTCAAGGCTGTTTGTTTTGTATTTTTTAAGTAAATGCATAGAGTTTTTCTTCCAAAATAAAATAAGACTTTTTAGAGGACTGGATATACTAGGAAAATTTAAAAAAAATTAGATCGTTACAGTAAATTAATCGAACTATAAATCTCAGCCTCCATATGGATCCATACCTAAGCAGAGATAAATACCAAAGCAATGAAAACTATGGACATTCTTGTTCCATTTAACAGGGTTTCACAGCTTACTTTGTGTTGGGTGGGTTTTAATAACAATGCCCCGGTGCCTGAGCGGAGATACGCCCGAGCCGCAGACCAGGGTGGGAGGCTGGAAAGCCGTTCCCCGGCCCTGGAGCTGCAGCAGAAGCCGCTCTCAGGGTCCGGGCGGGCAGAGGCATTTTCAGCTGTGCAGCCCCGTTCCCGGAGCAGGCTGGCCCATGGACGGGACGTGGTGTGACCCAGGCACATCCTTCTGCCCCATCCCTTTTCTCTCCGAGCCGCTTTGATGGGATCGCCCGAGGGCCAGACTGGCTGAGTAATTAGGGCTCTGCAGCTTCCTCTCCTACCCACCCAAACTGCCTACCTCCCAGGGCTCCGCATGGGATGCGGCCTCGAGCAGATGGAAAAACTGAGGATTTGGCGGGGGTGGGGGAGGTGGAGTAGGGGTGGAGGAAAAAAAAAAAAAGACAGGCTTTGTACACCGTCCCTAGGCAGCACACTCCCACATTTCAGGATTACCAAAGTCAAACCTCTTGGTTTTGCTTTTGCAGTGGCTGTTGGGCCCTGGATTTAGGGACGCGAGACACTTCGCCGCGGCCTCGAGTGGGGCCTCTGGGCGAGAGGTTCCTGGAGAAGGGCTGCTAGCCCTCTCTGCTTATCCGGCCGCCCTTCCTCCTCCTCGCCCCCGATACGCACAACGCCCGCGGCAGGAAACCCGGGCGATCCGCGGGCCCGATCCTGCCGGCACAGGCCGTGTGCGAAGCGCTGCGGGATCGGCCCCGGCAGTGTTTGCTAATTGCCTCCCTCGGCCCCTTCAAACAGTGTCTGGGTAAACAGGCTGACCTTCAGGGCATGTTGCAAGGTCCATAAAGATGGAGAGTGTGGAGAGGGAGCAAGCTTCAGCATCCCTCCCGGAGCCACCCCCCTCCTGCCCCAGCCCTAGCAGCTGCAGTATCGAAAGGAAGAGGGGAGGGATACTCTGAGCTGAGATCATCCACTTGTTTTATTCACGGCAGTCTTCATTCTGCAAGGAGCTGCCTGCCAGAGAGCTTTAAAAAAAAATTTAAATACAAATTACTTGTGGGGAAAAAAAAGACAAATCATCGGGAAACTTTACAGCCAAGCACGGCAGACATCAGCTCTCTCCAGCACTGCGGGTTTGCACTGAGACAACACATCCCTCGGAGCAAGCTAGCACTTTCTGGGCTCGTTTCCTTAACCAACAGAGCTCCTTGTTGGCCATGGCGGTTGGTGGGGCCATCACAGAACTCCTGGCAGTTACCCCTTTTCCCTTTGCAGCTCTGCAACCCACTGAGCTCTGATGGGTTGTTTTAAAACAACGATCTAGTACCACCCCTTTCCCCAAAAATGCTTCTTTGTAGCTGCTGGTTTTGCTGAGTTCTGTCATAGAACAAATGTTTATGATCAAGTTGAAGTTCTCCAGAAAGGATTTCCAGAAGTGGTGATGGATGGCAGACACTGGCAGCTCTACAGAGCACGGAGGTCAGACAGCCATAGTGGTGTGACATGCTGGTGGCAGAGCATCCATCCCAACCTTCAACCCCCTGCATTACCCACTTGATGAGGAACTTTCTTGAGCTTGTTTACTAATTGTGAGAATAATTTACATCTTTGATAACATCTAATTCATCCAGTGCCCTTCATCTGCATACAAATCTCCTAACAGCAGCTGGAGTCACAGAGCTATCTGGGCCTCCCTAAAATGAGCCAACTTTACAGCCACAGAGATACAGAAATGACCCTGCCCAGCTTCTGCAAGCACAGCCCCCATAGGAATCAGGCCAGTTTCCTTTGACTGTCAGAATAATTAGTCAAATTTATACAATTTCCTAACTAAATACAGCAACACATACCTATCTGCTGATGCCAGGCCCCTGTGGCCTTTGCTGCTGCACGAGGAGCGCATGTTCAGCTGAGCTGCAGACAGGCTGCCTGCACCTCTCATTCCTGCCCGGGATCCTGGCTTGCAACTGTCTCATCTTGCTTCTGGCTCTGCAAGAGCAGATCACGATCCCTTGTACACTGTGTCTGTGCAGCTATTTCTCTCATGCAGACACAGACAAATCCCTCAGTAGTGGCACAAGTTGCTTTGGAGCCAGCCTGATGGTGCTGCAGGAGTGGGCAAGGGGAGGTGGGGATGAACAGTCGGTATGTTCTGGCCAGGCCAGTGCTGACACTCCACTTAAGAAGATCCTTTCTTTCAATTGCAAGATTTTCCCAGGCATTTCTACTTCCAGTAATTTCTTACTGAAATCAGTCTTTTTTCTCCCTTTCCCAAAACAAAGGGATATTTCCCTAAATGACTTTTCTTCTCCCATAACTGTGGGACCATGCTCTCACTCCTAGCACTCCTGCATGATGGATCCACACCATGCCAGCAACTTTGTGAGATGGAAAGTTGTTTGGGCAAAACTGAGTTTTTTGCTGAATTATTTTGTTCCAGATGCCTAACAAACAAAGTAAGCCA